TGTTAGTCTCTAAGGTGCTACAGGACCACTAGTTTTTTAAGCTTTTTAATTTTTTTTTAAGATACAGACTAACATGGGCTACCCCTTTGAATCTCTCTGTAGTTGGTTCCTGAAATTACTTTGTAGAAGAATGGCTACTTTCAAATCCATTAATGAGTGCTCAGGCAAGTTAAAATGTTCCCCCACAGGTTTCTCTGTGTTACAGTTTCTAACATTTGATTTGTATCCATTAATCCTTTGTCATAGAGACAGTTTGGCCAATATACTTGGCAGAGGGGTATTGCTGGCACTTGATGGTGTATAACACATTAGAGGATATGCAGTTGTATGTGCCTCTGATGTAGTGGCTTATGTGATTAGGTCCTGTGATGGTGTCACTTGTATACCTGTGTGGACAGAGTTGGCAATGGAGTTTATTGAAGAGTTAGGTTCCTGGGGGTATGTCTACACTACCCCGCTAGTTCGAACTAGCGGGGTAGTGTAGACATACCCTGGGTGAGTATGTTTGAGGTGTGATGTATGGTTGCTGGAAAGAATTTTCTTTAGGTTAGGGGGCTGTCTGTAGGCAAGGACTTGCTTGTCTCCCAATGCCTGTGAGAGATCATTTTCCAGGATAGATTGTAGATTATCAATGATGCACTGGAGGGGTTTAAGCTAGGAGTTGTAGGTGATGACCTGTTATTTTGCTTGTTGGCTACCACCCTTCTTTTCCTCCTTTTTGCGTCACTCATCTGAAGAAGTGGGTTATATCCACAAAAGTTCATGATACCATATATATTTTTGTTAGTCTCTATGGGTACATCTACACAGGGCGCTATTTCAGGATAACGAATGTTATCCTGAAATAGTGTTCTGCACATCTTAACAGCACGCCTGTTATTTTGAAATACATTCAAAATAACAGACTTCTTTTTCTAGCTTCCTGTAAATCTCGTTGCACAAGGAGTAAAGAAGACGCCTGAATAGTGATTTATTTGGAAATTAGCTCTGTGTAGACAGCACCAAATTTCAAAATAAGCTATGCAATTTACGTAGCTCAAATTACATAGCTTATTTTGAGGTATGCACTACTGTGTAGATGTACCCTTGTTATTTCAAAATAACAAGGCTAGCGTCCACACTACCAAGCCTGGTATTTGAAAATAATGGGCTTGTAATTTTGAAATAATAATTCCTACTTGTGAAGAGGAATAAATTTATTTTGAAATAGTTATTTGGGGAGTTATTAGACATAGCCTAAGATGCTACAGGACCATAGTTGTTTTCTTTAACAGTGTTAAAGATATGAAGAGAGCTATAAAGGGGGTTTTGGTGGCATTCTGTCATAAGAATATTTTGTTTTCTGTTTGTCAGTTGACTGTGGCATTTCCATTTTCCTTCAAGATATATAGTTTTGATGATTGTTGCCCCCATGCCAGCAAATTGCAGCAGCTGCTGCAGAATCAATGATAGTAGGCCCTGTAGTTAAGATATAGTTAAAAAACTGGAAAAACTCAGACAACTTGATTTGTGAGAGTAGGATCCACTGGGGTAGTTTTGCTTATGTAATTTTAACTTTCATTGTACAGGTTGGACCTCTTTTGTCTGGCATGCTCGGGACTTGATTGGTCCTGGATGAGGGAACTTGCCAGAAAATGGGAGGCCCCCTGATACCAGCACCCTGCTGCTGGTTCAGCTGCCTGTGGATCAGCCTCAGCCCTGATTTTGAGGCCAGCTGGCCAGGCAGCTCCAGCCCCACTGCCGAATGGCAGGTTGTCCCAGCTGAGCTGCTGCTGCAGCCCCAGCCCCAGCCCCAGCCCCACTGCCATGTGGTACGTGGCCCCAGCTGCTGTATTTGACACTTCTGAAGTGAGACTGTTAATCTATGGCACTGAAGCAGGTAGACAAATGTCACTGTCATATGCAAACATTTACTGTGCCCAGGGGCAAGGAGAGAGAGGGAGAGCAATTATGACTCAAAGATATGACTGTGAAGCACAGTGCTTCTCAGGGCTACTCCTACCTTGAAGCTTCAGTGCAGTTTACACAGGGCTAAACTTAAAAACCTGGTTCACGTTATTTTAGCTGAAAATGCTTTTCTGTGCAAAGTTATAAAGGACATGAAAAATAGAACTAATCCTAGCTGCCCAGTATTGCAGTGACATGGTAACAAACCCCTGCCCTATTCATATTTAAAAAAGTTGTCTCATGGTTGGAAGTACTTTCATTCTGCCATATGTAATATTTAGTTAGGCAGTAGATTAAAGAAGCATTTAAATACATTTCCTGCTGTCAGTGCTTATTATCCAAAAATATCTGTATCAAATGTGAAAACATATTAGGGTACAGAAATACTTTTAGGGACTTTTTAGGACCATCCTGACATGCTAAACTTTTTAAAAAATCATATAGGACCTGAATAAGGGTTTGGCCCATGCTTTTTCCTAACAAGACATCTTTCTCTTGAATGACCTCCCAGCAAACTTGTCCAGAGGTCATTTGTCAAGTGTATTCTCTGTAAAAAGTGCCTAACATCTGTTCTCAATTTGCTTTCCCATTAACATCTATTTTTGCCTTTTTTTCACTCATCCGTGCTGTATTACAAATAGCATTTCTGGTAAACTTTATTTATACCCATGTAAGGGGTTGCAATAGTCAAAGTAAGTCCCTTGAGTGCCTTTTGTTCGAGTTCCACATTCTCTGTTAAGCCTACACACTCCAGAGTCTTCAAGCAAAAATAAATTTTGGGGAACACAGTTTGATAAGTGACTGAAATTGTATTTAGGTGCAGAGGCTGGCATGACTCTGAAGACAGACAGACTTGAGACAGACAGTTCTTCCTTTTTCTCTTCTTTCCCATATGAGCATTTTTAGCTCTCCCCTGTATTTAAAAGCTAGACTTAACTCCCTTTCGTCTTTTACTATCCATTTCAAATCTGTCCTCCTTCATGTGTGGCTTATGTTAGGCAAGGCCCCTGATCATTCATTGGATAGCCTGACCAAAATTCTGTGGCTAAACTCCCAGATTCTATGGCACTCCACTGCAGCAGACTATTATGTGGCATCTTTACATGAAAAAATTGAATGGTTTTAGGTAAATTAAATAGGAAAATAAGTAAAATAATTATTAGTTTCCCTTCAGTAGTGAATTAGATATTACATTAATATTTTATTTTGCCCTAAATTCTTAATTTCCAATATGCTTCCTAGTTTTATATAGTAAACCTTAATTTTACATCTTTTGAAACACACAAAGATACTGTATCCTTCCATACTGGGCACGCTAACAGTATTCTCTTCTCCTCTAGAAGATCATTTACAAGACACTATTTGGCTTGGCTTTTTCATCTGGCTGAGAAATGTGGAAAGGAAGAGAGCTGTAGTGGGGTGGTCAGGAATTTATGCTGAAATTTTATTCCCTAGCTCCAGGCTATGTGGATATTATCTGAAAGACCCACCTGCACTTCTGCCTGTGTCACAATTTCTCAAACTTTTTGCAAAGAAATGGAGTTCACCTTTAGACAGAAAGGCTATGTCTATTTCAGGATACTGGAGGTATCCTGAAATAGGTATTCTGTGTCTTTTGAGAGTGCCCATTATTTCAAAACTAGCTGGAGTTACCCGACGTTGCTCAGGAAACTGGAGGAACAAAATGTAGAAAAACAGTAGTCCGTTATCTTTTTTTGAATGGTAGAAAAGTTGCACTGATTTCTATAGGGATTAAAATATAAGTCCGCGTCATCCCCAGAGGGGGGTGTGTGACCCCGGGTGGAGGGGAGGTTACACGCGGGAGGGGCGCCCCAGCTCACGCCCGGGGCTGCAGGTGCCACGGTGGGCAGGGCAGGTGCCTGAGCCATTGTGTGTATGAGGGTCGGGGCACTATGTGCTGGCACGGGACAGAGGAAAGAGGGTCGCTTATGTAACCTCACGGGCGGGAGGGGGGCAGGGGACCTTAGGTGGGCGGGGCACACGGTGGGCAGGGCAGGTGCCTGAGCCATTGTGTGTATGAGGGTCGGGGCACTATGTGCTGGCACGGGACAGAGGAAAGAGGGTCGCTTATGTAACCTCACGGGCGGGAGGGGGGCAGGGGACCTTAGGTGGGCGGGGCAGCGGGCATGGGACCTAGGGTGGGCAGGGCGGCCCCTGCAGCACAGCACGGCAGGTTACTTTTTGATTTTTACAGCTTGAGCTCGGGCCCAAGTGGGTCCAAAAGTACCTTAAAACCTTCTCCTGGAGGAAAGGTTATCCCATGCAAAGTTTGGTTGCGGTAGCTCTTATAGTGTCCAAGTTATTAGCGCACAAACTTACAAACATTCTCCTTTATATATTAGATATAAGTCTTGCTATTCCGATGTCCCTGTAAACCTCATTCCATGAGGAATAATGGACTGTAATAATCCCTGTCAGCGGGAGGCCATGCTGACACACTATGAGCTGCCAGAGTAAAGGGCCTCAGGCCTGACTACAGGCCAAATATCAGTTATAGAGGCCATGCCCTTGTTCGGGGCAGCGCAACAAACAATCATTTAAGCAGTTTTAGGTAAACCCAGAGGCAGTTTTATGAGCCCAGGCCCTGGGTCAGGGCAGGGCAACAAACAAACAGTTGGTTTATGGGTTTTAAGGCTCCAGTTTGGGAGGCCAGGCCCAGCGTGAGGGTGAGCCAGCAATCTGTAAGCAAACGGTCCATAAACAATTAAACAATCCAAATAGTTCAGAGCCCAGGCCTGTCTACAGGCTGAGCCAGGGGTCTAGTCTCCTTGCTGGCGGAGAGTCGACAAGTGCAGGGGTTTCTCTTCCTACAGGAAGACGCAGGCTCGCCCACTCCACACCAGCTCAGGGCTCTAGCAGTGGCAGCGTGGTGGCCACTGGGTCGGCAGGGATCCGAGCCACAACACGCTGACCAGGTATATTGGTCAGTGGGGATCCGAACCATAACATGCTGTCCAGCTGACCTCCAGCTCCTCAGCCGCCCTGGGGTCGTCTTCCCCTGGGCCACTACCCCATTCCTCCTGGAGGCCTACCTGATTCGGGTGCTCTTCCTCGGGATCAGCTGGGGACGGAGGTGCTGGCAGTGTGTCCATAGGCTCTGGGTCCTGTTCGGGTAAAGGTCCAGGTGGTCCAGCCCAGTTGTCTGGGCCTGGCAAGAGTCCTGGGGGTCTGGGTAAATCTGTGGGCCCAGGCAGCGGCCTCCATGGCCTTGTCCAGTTATTAGGGTCCACCAGTGGCCATGGCAGCCCGGGCCAGTTCTCAGGACCCGGCAGTGGCCCTAGCGGCCTAACCAAGTCTTCCCTCTGAGGGCAGGGTGGCAGGACCTTTCTCTTCAGGGCTGGGGCCTTTGGCCTGCTCTGCAGCTGAGCTCCAACTGAGCTTGGAGCTCCTCTTTTTAGACCTCCGGCCCTGCCTTTCTGTTTCCTGTGGACGGGGCTGGGTTGTTCTGGTACTGCCAACCTAGGAGTCTTTGGAAGAGTTTCCTCATCTGGGTCACTGGGAGGCCACGCTGACTCACTGGAGGAACATTTTGTAATAGTGATTTATTTTGAAATAAGTGCTGTGTAGACAGCGCCGAATTTTGAAATACGCTATTTTGAGCTATGGGTGCAGTATAGATGCACCCAAAGAGAACCGGTAGCTCTAAGATTTCATTAAGTTGATCAAAGGAGTCAAATCTTACACAGGACTTGCTCATCACAATCATGCAACTAATAGAGAATAAAAAAGGGAGTCATCTCAGAGACTCACCTATATGCAGTCCAAATTCCAAATAAATAAACATATAGATCGGAAAGGGGTTTACAGCAGGGCTATTCAACTTTGGAAGCTCCAGGAGCCACAATGCCGAGGGTCACTGCACATGCTGAGGGCTGCAACTTAAGTGTGATTGCATATACATGTAAATATATATGCAAATATATGCAAATAGCTTCTTTAGCACTGACGTGCATGAATACAAAGATTAAGGCAAAACTACACTACATGCAGGCCCCATGTAGGTCAGTTCTGCTGATATTAATAAAATGTAATATTTACTCAATTTCCACCCATATGACAGACAGCACTTTTAATGAGCAATGGCAGTCCAGGAATTTAACTACTAAAACACCTATCAACAGAAGACCATTATATTGACTACTTTTTTGTTTTGGCTCCCACCTGCGGGCTGCATGTTGAGCTCCATGTAAACCCAAACTGCACTGCAGGCCGCAAACAAATGGGCTGTGGGCTGCATATGGCCCGCTGGCCACGTGTTGTGTAGTCCTGGATTACAGGAACAGGTCCAAACAATGCAAATGTACAATATTTCCCTTAAGAAGTGGTAGCCATAAAGCCCTATCCATGCTAACAGTTCTAAACTTTATGGGTTTAAACTGTATAGTGTGGATTGCGTCCCCTTGACAGAGTTACTATACTATGCCAGCATTGAGTCCTGTGTTGGGAGTTTAGAGTTCAGCACGATCCCGATTTAGCTCAGTTCACATTGCTTCTAGAAATAGTGCTAGATGCACAAAAATAGTTCCCAGAGGGCTAGTTTATTAGTAAATCTGTTTTCAGAAATGGTTTAGCTTTCTGCCAGTGCAGTTGAAGCTTGACATAGATCATGTGAGCACTTGCCAAGACAAATCAGTGAATCATGGCAGTTTTTACTGAGCCAAATTTTGAGGTCCTCACTAATTGTAACTCTTTCTTTACTTAACTCACTGAAGTCACTGAGTAAACATTAAGGACACTATGTTCCTTTTCTCTTACAAACATACCTTTTTTTTCCCTTTGCTTCAGTAGCTTGATAAGAAATAATTCTAGTTTGTTCTGAACCACACTAGAGATGTAAAATCCTGTTTAATTCGTTTACCAGTTAAAAATTAAGTTTAATGAGTTAACTAATTAAATCAGGGCAGGTGGAAGGGGAGTTCCAGCCTAGCTGGGCTGGAGTGGCTCCTGCTGCCTGCCATGGCCAGGATGGAGCGGCCTCTTCGCCATGGGCCTCGGCCATTCCATGCCAGCTGTTTCCAGTCCTGGGCAAGGCTGCTGGCTCCCAGCCCGTGCAGAGCTAGCAGAGCCATGAGCCCCATGTGCGGTTGGAAGTGGCAGCCCTGTGCGGGGCCAGAAACTGACAGCTCCATGTGGGGGGCCTAGTAGTGTTGGTGCAGCCTTCCATTCATGGCAGACCACAGGCACTGGGCTGCTTCCCGGGTACCAGTTAACCAGTTACCTGTTAACATCCCCAGTCCATGTACTCTGAAAAGCCTAATAATGATTTGGGTGCAGCTGTTGTATAAAAGGAAGCAGAGTAGCTCAGTCTGGACTAACAGCTGAGGAAGTAGAATACACAGTGGGGGCTTCAGCCCAGGAAGTGCCAGAGGCTCAGACAAGGGAACCAGCGATGTTGAAGCTCATGCAGTGACCCAGACACTGGCAGTGGTTTGTTGGAACCCAGGATCACTGGGTGCATGGGCATTAGGTATGTAAGGTAGGGGAAGACTTTGCCTTCTCAAACCACCAGGCATAGTCCTGCCTGCACTCTGCCCCCAGAACACCTGCTGTAGGTGCTCTGCAGGTTGGGTTGCCAGGAGTCCAATATTTTCGCCTCCTGTCCGGTAAAAAAATTCAGAGAATACCGGACACCTAAGATGTCTGGTATTTTCTGGTTTTTTTCCCCCTGGCCAGGAGGCGAAAATGCCGAGCACCTGGCAACCCTACAAACACTCAGCGCCCAACACCCCCAGTTCCCCGACCCCAGGCCCCATGCTTACCTGGTTCTGCAAGGCTGCCAGCACAAAATGGCTGCTGCCCAAGGGTGGGGGGTCTTAGTGCTCAACCGCTCCCCTGTTCCTATCCCTGCACTCATTCTTAAAGGGACATGCTATTTTAATGCTGTTTTATTTTCTTTTGCTCAACAACTTTGGTCTCCCCCCCCTTTTTTTTCCTTCAACAGAATTTTTTCTCGGTGGCTTTTTGGGGGGGGGGAACGTTCGGTATTTTTGTTTCAACCATCTGGCAACCCTATCTGGGGGTGGAGTGTTGCTGCCTCCAGAGCCCACCCTCCCAGTGCTCCAGGCCTGGGGAGGCCAGGCCTGGCCATGTGGTGCAAACTCCTTCCTCTTCCAGTGCTCCGAGGCTGGGTTGGGCTGGGCGCTTAAGAGGGTAGGCTGGGCTTGGGTGTGCTGTGTGGCGTGTCACAGTATGCCTTCCACTGTGGCTGGAGAGACTGAGATGAGCACGTGCCCATTTCCCCACTCCCCCCTCCCATGGCTGGAAGGGGGAAGCACACAACCCAGGGGGTGGAGAAGGGGTAGGGCCTAGCAGAAGGGGCGGGGCTGGAGGTGGGGCTGGGGTCTTGCTTCCCTCAGCCCTGCCTTCACTGACCACCAGTGACTGGGAGCCATCAAAAGTCTGGGAACCCTGGAGATGCCCAGTGCTCAGTTACAAGGGACAAGGTAGGAAGTGGCCTAGGAGGATGTAGCAGCTGCACTCCTGGCAACAGTCAGCATGTTTTGATCTGGATCTCTGCTGTCTCAGTACAGGCAGTCCCCGGGTTACGTACAAGATAGGGACTGTAGGTTTGTTCTTAAGTTGAATTCCCAGATCCACCCGCTGCTGAAACTGACCAGCGGCTGACTACAGGAAGCCGGAGGCAGAGTTGCTCAACAGGCTGAATCAGGATGCCAGTTCTTACATAAAGTATGTCTACACTACAAAGTTAGTTCGAACTAACGGACGTTAGTTCGAACTAACTTTCATAGGCGCTACACTAGCACTCCGTTAGTTCGAATTTAATTCGAACTAACGGAGCGCTTAGTTCGAACTAGGAAAACCTCATTCCACGAGGATTAAGCCTAGTTCGAACTAGTGGGAGGCTAGCCCTCCCCAGCTTTCCCTGGTGGCCACTCTGGGCACCACCAGGGAAACTCGTCTGCCCCCCTCCCGGCCCCGGAGCCCTTAAAGGGGCACGGGCTGGCTACGGTGCCCGTGTCAGGTGTAAGCCTGCCAGCACCCAGCCAGCAGACCCTGCACCTGGCACGGATTGAGCCACCCACCCGATGCCCCCCAACCCTCTGCCTCTTCCCGGGTCCAGGCTGGCGGCTCCTGGGAGCTTGCCCGGGACCGCAGGAGGTGGGCACCCGCCTGGGCTAGTGCAGACATCGTGGCACAGGAAAGTAGATGGCTAGGGCAGGAGAGCTACCAGCCTGGCCACCCAGGAGCAGGTGTGCAAGAGAATCAAGGGGGTCCACTGAGACCCCCGACCCTGAGCCCTGAGCTTACAATGGCCGTACTGGGTCAGACCAAAGGTCCATCTAGCCCAGTAGCCTGTCTGCCGACAGCGGCCAACCCTAGGGACCCTGGAGGGGATGGACTGAAGACAGTGACCAAGCCCATTTGTCTTGTGCCATCCTTCTCCAGCCTTTCACAAACTTCGGGCAGGGACACCACTCCTACCCCCTGGCTAATACCACTCCATGGACCCAACCTCCATGAATTGATCTCACTTCTCTTTAAACTCTGTTCTAGTTCTAGCCTTCACAGCCTCCTGCAGCAAGGAGTTCCACAGGTTGACTCTTTGCTTTGTGAAGAACAACTTTCTGTTACTAGTTTGAAGCCTGCTACCCATTCATTTCCTTTGGTGTCCTCTAGTCCTTCTATTATGGGAACTAATGAAGAACTTTTCCTTATGCACTCTCTCCACCCCACTCATGCTTTTATAGACCTCTATCATATCCCCCCTC